AGCCTCCGCTCTTGTAAGTATTCCAGTCTTTGATTGACTGTGAGTACCCTACATGGACTGTGTCGTCAGCATGTTTGACAAATATGAGAGGGGCATCGAAGATGCCAAGTACAGATGTACTGAATAACGGAGGTGACAGAACCGATCCCTGTATTACGCCAAAGTTGTTCCGTAAGACGACTGATTTCTAACGACCACACTTCACGAACTGGCGACGCAGAGACAGAGAGTCATCAAGCTACCGATGCTTTGAGTGGTCCAAAAAAGTTGAAAGGAGTTTCAATATCAAACCGTCGCTCAGGATGGTGTTAAAGGTGTAGAACAGTTCAAAGGATGTTGCCCAGTGACTCTGCCGCAAGAATTCAGTTCACTGACGATTTCGTTTGTGACGCAGGCAAGGACATTACAGGCTCCAATCCTTCTTCTGTAGGTGAACTGCTGTCGATCAATCATATTCCTGAGAATCATTTTGAAGATGGATAGAACTAAACTTTCTTAGCATTGAAGGAGAGCCAAAATTAAGGCGATTGGTTGAAAGGAATTGACGTTCGCTGCAGCTGATGGCCTCTTCTTTGGCACCGAAATCGATCACCACTGGAAATGAGTGAATTGTGCAAAAACATTTAGGTAGAAGCTATACAACACGGCATATGACATTAAAAACCGATACCGATTCCGGATACAGAAAGACATGGCAAACTTAGAGGAACAAAGTTTGAGTATCTGCGAATTGATTTCATCTCAACGGGAGAGACGTTCGAGCGTAGACGCTCAAAACAGGATCGAACCGCTCCTCTGCTGAAGTGAATCGGGTCGTGAGACGTTCTTCAGGGTAGAGCTTGACAGCGCCATATTGCATAGTCACCTGATGTTGGGTCAGAGGCTCTTCAGATCTTTTTCGGCATAGCAGTGTTTCGCATGGAGATCGCTCAGCCGCCGAATTTCTGTTTTGATTTGAATGAGAAACTTGTGACAGAGGTTATTGGTTCGGGACCTATAGGCCTTTTCCCTTTGGTGGCGAATTCGCAGTAATAATTCAGAAGCAATATAGTCTTTTAATCTGAGGCTTTTTCACTTGGCAAAGATACTAAAGACACTACTGACTCTGTTAACTGTCGTTTCTAGATCTCTCTGGCGACGAGTCAACGATAAGAAATTAGGCCAGTGAAAGGAGGGACAAAACCATTGCAGCAATAGGACATTGACTTCAACAATGTTCCCTGTAATGATTCGATGGGGTGACGACGGCTACCTGATATTTTGTACTGATTTTCACCAACCAGCGCCAATTTGGAAGCTAGGCAAAATTCAGACAATGCAGTGTTCCAGCTACCCAAATGGAGGCGGCTCCTCGAGTGGAATAAACTTCAGCATTTTTTAAAAACACTTTGTTCAAGGTAGCCACACCGTGCGCATGAAACATTGCAATATTTACAAGGCCAAGGGGAGCAATAAATTCCAGACCGTGACACTTGAAGTCACTGGTCAGGATGACTGGGTTTTTCTGCACAATGGGAGTGCAGTCAGGCGAGAAATAGACGTTTCTGACCATAAAATGCTGAAAATGATACGTGAATCTTCGTCGACAGTAAATAGCAAG